TGTGTGTGTGTGTGTGTGTGTCTGTGTGTGTGTGTGTGTGTGTGTCTGTGTGTGTCTGTGTCTGTGTGTGCAGTCGCAGTAAATTCTCAGTATCAATAACAGGATTATATTTAACTTCCTCTTTCTATGCAGATCAGCTCGGCGCTCCACCAGAGCAGCTTCCTGTCAGACCCGCCCGTCAGCCTCAGACCATCTTCACGCTGTTTTTCTGCCTTTGAGCTTTTGTTGTCACGGCGCCCGTTAAAGCAGCTCCTGTTTGCTGCGATGTGCACAAAGCTGTTCTTCATCTATGAAAGAATGAACCTGATCGTATCATTCCTCATAAACTACATGTTCTGAGTTACGTGTTGAGGTTGATTCGCCACCAGGCAGATAAACGGAGAACAAAGGCTTCATTAACTTTGATTGTTTTCCTTTAATCATAAATATTTGATGGCGATTTCAAACTTTATTACAAAATTTCAAACATTTCCATGTATTTTATTGTAAATGCTCCAGCACTTCCAGGCCCAATGACCCGTTTTAAGCCTCATTTTAATGCAGTTTTCTTTGTTTTTGGGAAACTGAGGAAACATTTGGGCCTGAAAATGGAAAAAGTGAAAACTAATGTGACGACAGCTTTAAGCTGCAGGCATGTCTGTCAAATTTGGAGCTAAGGATGGTGTTTGTGGTTGGTGGTCCTTAAAGACGTTCTGCAGCGCTCACGGACCGCCAGCACTTCAGACCGGCGCGCTTCATCGGTGCGTCAGAAAAAAAAACAAAGGCTGATAAACTCTCGGCTCCTCCTTAATTCAAAACTTCATTTTTGCGAATTAAAAGATAAAAATCTAACCAAACACAAAAATCTTTAACATAAACTTTGTGTCCAGTCTCTCAGGCTTTTAAACGAACATCAGCCCAACTCAAACGCGCCGCTGTTTCCGGGTCCTACAGCAGGACGCAGGGCTTCTTGGTGACGGTGGGCTGCGGGTTGAGGTACGCCCTCACCGCCTCGGTGAACACTTCCTTTATGCCTTCCTGGTTGAGTGCCGAGCACTCCATGTAGCGGATGGCCTGGATCTGGCGGGCGAGGGCGGCGCCCTGCTGGTGGGTGACCGGCGCCTGGTTCTGCTCCTTGAGCTTCCTCTGAATCTCGGCATCGTTCCTGAGGTCGCTTTTCGTGCCAACCAGGAGTATGGGAACGCCGGGACAGTGGTGGGACACCTGGTGACGAGAGCAAAGGTCATTATTATTTTGGACTGCTTCAGGAAAGAGCTTTTGATTTTACTCTTGGGCTCCACTAGAGTTGCTTTGCATGATTCACTGTTCAAAATAAGTCTTATTTATTTCATACTGGGCCTTTTTAAACTAAAGTTTAAAAAAACCCCTGCTTTCTTCTGATTGGTCAGGTTCTGGAAGCCTGCTTTGTCCTTTAGTAAATGAAAACTAGAAAGAAAACTATTTTGGCTTTCTAAAAACAATCTTGGTAACTTCTCAGGGCTTTTATTTTGAAGGTGCTCTCTAAAATCATGTTCCTGTTGGGTACTTTGAGTTAAAAGGATCTGACCAATAACGTGGCCACTGTGCGGTTAAGCCGCACGAGAAGGCTGAGCTCCAGTTCTGATGAAATTCTAGGATTTTGATTGGATGTTACTGATCAGCAGGCGTTTGTGTGATGCAACCAAGATAGCTAGCATTAGCAGATAAATTAGCACTCGACCCTCTCGAACAACATGGCGGCGGAGAAATGCTAAAATTGAGGCTTCGATGTGCATGAATGACAAATATCAGTCCGTCCCTGTCTACCAACAGAAGTCTGTAAAGATGCTGACGAGTTGACCCCTGACCTCTGGGTGCCACTTGTGTTTGACATTCTCGTAGGAGGCGGGGCTTGAGATGGAGAAGCAGATGACGAAGACGTTGGTCTGGGGGTAGGAGAGCGTCCTGAGCCGGTCGTACTCCTCCTGCCCTGCCGTGTCCCACAGGTTCAAGCTGATGATCCTGCCGTCCACCGTCACCTGAGCAGACACACACATGCACACACACATGCACACACACACACACACACACACACACACAAAGTTATGTTTCATGACAGAAAGTTTCACAGTCGTGTTGTTTGTAACTTTGTCTCTCAGATCTCAGTTTTGATACGTGCGTGTTTGTGTGTGTGGGGGGGCATTGGGGGCGTGGCCAATGCTAAACTGCCCCTTTATTTGCATATAATTTGCATGAGGCACAGGGACCTGGCTCTTCCTGGCTCATGTGTGACGTCCTGATGTTTAGAAACTGATTTACGGCTCTGATAACGCTCCACAGAGACGGGATCTGATCTAACAGGAAGTGAGCATTGCTGTAACTTCCTGTATGCACTAAGAGCTGCTGGACACCGACTCAACGGCAGCTTTTTGTTGCACAGGTCGATTCTGCGTTCTCACACAGCTGACCTTTGACCAGCACACAGGTGTGTCGGACCCACCTGGTGGACGACAGCTGGATGGACTTTATTTGTTTCTTGGTAACGGTTTTATTTCAGATTCAGGGGTTTTTGTTTCCCAGGTGACACGTTTTATTTTACCAGCAGGGAGAAAAACATGAACGTGAACTCGTTTTTATCTGAAAGGTTTCAGTGTGAAGGACTCGAAGGATGCGAGGGGCAGAGCGAGGGGCGGAGTCTTCACCGGTACAGTCACCTGCTTCAGACTCAGTGAAGCTCACATCACACAGACAAACTTGAAGCTCACAGCTGTGATCGTGATCATGTGATCATGTAATGGTGCAAGGACATTGTTCTGCTCCTACCCCTTTATGGTCCCTGTCTTCTGATTGGCTGCCAGGTGACCACATCCCACAGAACCAGCGGCCTGAGCTTCAGAAACATGTTTAACATGAGCTGTTGGAGCAGGAGAGGAGACGACCCGCTCCACCTCGAAGGTGGAGGCCATGTGAGTGTGTATCTGTGGTACTGCACGGTACTGTAATACTCACACAGTATTACTATAGATAGATTTTTACTGCAGTCCGTTATCAGCTGTTAATCAGCTGGTTAACGGCTGTCATCAGACACACGCAGCTGCTGCAGGCGGCCTCGCCGGCCTGCGAGCTGATCATTATCATGGCTTTCGATGATGTCGTGTGTGGGTAGACGCGAGTTCGAGGCCCGTGTTTGGACTCGCTTTGTTCTAACTTTCACGGATTGGTTGCCTAACTCGGCTACATGGTGACTCCACAGAGGTGTCACCCGTGCCAGTGATCAGAAACACTCAGGAACTCTTTAATCATCAGATCAAAGCTGTGATTGGGCTGCTGTAGAGGTCAGGTGACCTTTGTAGGTGAGGGAGAGGGCGAGCACTCACCTGGCTGCTGTAGTTGTCGAACACAGTGGGGATGTACTCTTTGGGAAACGCTCCGGTGGTGTAGGATATAAGGAGACACGTCTTCCCCACAGCACCGTCACCCACAACCACACACTTTATAGTTTGCATGATGACCTCTGACCTCTGGCCCCTCGGTGACCTGCGGAGGACAGAAATGTGAGTTTGTGCTATCATCAGACCACAGAAAAAAACAGCTGACCTGATAGGAAACAACCTGCAGCTCCGCTGGCTGAGGTTACCTCATCTTTTCTCACACACGAAGAATAAACAGACTCTTTTCACCTTCTTTAGGTTGTGATTGGCTCGTTCACAGTGACCTGGTGTCTTTATTCTTTCATGTTTTGTCTCTTTGTGGTTGTTTTTCTTTGCGGTCTTTTCTGCCCACTCAGAGGTTGTTGTCCCCTGTGGGAAACCTTTGGTCACCTTGGTTATTCTGTCTTGCATCATTCTTTCCTCCTTCAGGTTATTGTTTATCTTTCTGTGGTGAGATCGTATCTTTACTCTTTCCTTTTTGTCTTCTATTAGGCTCATGTTGATGTGTGCACACTGCAGATCCACACCAGCACACCTATGATCTGTTTTTTTTACCTTCAGAGATTCTGATTGGCTAGTTGGTGCTGCTCCGCGGTCAGAGACTCCTCGGTTTTCCTTCGGTTAACACAGTTTGTTCAGGAACACGTGACGTCCCATCATCTGCCTGCAGAGAGAGAGGAGGGCGGTTTGTCCCGGTCAGTATTTGTGTTTATGGAAATGATGGCTGCAGAAGGAAACGGTCTCCAAACAAAGCAGAGATGTTATCCTGCA